ATTCCCAGAACATTACGATCTTCGATCAGTACACGCAACAACACCTCGTCGTCTTGAACAATGCGGCCAACCTGTTGTTGTTGTCGCCGCTTTTAATATTTAGAACCGTTCCGGTCTCCGCTCAGCACCTTCTAATATTCGTGCTGGTCCAACCGACGCGGACGCCTTCCGCGGCCACGAGCCAACTACACCTTTCTAGAAATCAAAGAACGTAAATATAACGAGCCTAACAAATATCCTCCGAACGACCAATTGAGTCCGTCAATGGCGTTGCCGATGCTGCGAACTCTCCCAGAGTGGAACGCGACGCGAGTCCCCGGACATGTTGCATAGAGGGCTGCGTGACGTCCGGTTTGCTTGGTATAAAAACCGCCGCGGACCTCACGTGAACGGATGGAACATGTACAACAGACTCCCCCAGCACCCACGGAATGTACCGCTCGTAAAACCTAACGGTTGATGAATATCCGCACCAGCATCAGTTCTGATCGTGGCACCTGCGTCAGGAAACAACAGTACCCAATGTGCATTGGAAGCATCAGCGACACGAGAACAGCTTGACCTTCCTCAGGATGGTGTAATGTCACCACATTGGCGACCATATCCTGTGCAGGTTCGGCGAAATCTAGCATAATCGCAACCGATTGAAGATGGCCTAGCTAGCCCAAGATGCCCGGAAAAGTGCTGAAGAGTTCATGCCAATCCTTACGGGCCATAAATTGGCCGCATGTGTCGCTGCCTCTCTTGGTTCGACTTGTGGCAGCTCAACGATAATTCTCGGAGCTACACATGGCTGGAAGTCCAAACAAAACGAAAGGAGTGGCTCATAGCAAGGCCATCGCCAACAATGCTTGGACAGTTGGATAAGTGGCCCCGTCCCCACTTATTCAGGTGTGCAAGCATTGTTGGCGGTTTGCGTTTTTTGGAGTCACTCGTTTCGTGCGATTGGGATTTCCAGCCGTGCGAGGCAAACGATGTACGCAGCCAAATTACGGCCCGTAAGGATTTGAATAAACTCTTCAACTCTTTCCCGACACCTAAGGTTTGGCCGCTCAACCGGTCGCGATCATGCTTGGGTTCGTCAGCAGAGTACACTTTGCCTCACCGTGAGGTGTAGAGGTACCGAGTAAGATGCGCTTATGCACCGCTGCATACAATCCTACCTCGTCCAATCGTTCCAGCACGAGGTCAAGCGTTTCGTGAAGGTCAACTTCGTCATGCCCGCAGCAGGTGACGTCGTCAACCCAATCCACCCATGCAGTTGAGGCATCCAGCAACTCTGCTCGGAAGAACCAGTTGGAATTCAAAATGCCATGAGGGACACAAGTAGGAGTGTAGAGCCCTCCCGGAGCAACGAGAGTACGAAACTCCCTGGGTCTCTGATGCGAGCGGCATTTGCCAAGGCCCTCGCAACATGTCAAGACTAACGTAGCAAGTTGCTTGGCTTAGCCTCTGCATGCAAGCTCTTTGACTGGGGATCACCCCTGGGTTTTTTTCCACCACTTGGTTTACTTTCCGATAGTCTCTTACGATTCGGGAACCACCGTTTGTGAGGTGCCACGAGAAGGACGGTTTCCGAATGGTTAGCGACTATCGGAAAGCCAACGCAAGTGAGGAAAAATGCCGGCGGGTGATGCCGAATCTATTGCTCGCACCAGAGACCCCGCAAGTTTCGTACTCTCGTCGCTCCGGGGGGACTCTACACTCCTACGCGTGTCCCTCAGGGTATCTTGAATTCCAACTCGTTCTTCCAAACAGAGTTGCTGGATTCCTCAAATGCATGGTTTTGGGGGCTATGTCACCTGCTAGGGGCATGGCGAAGCTGACCTTCTCGACATGCTTGACCTGGTGCGGGAAAAGCCAGGCACGCACGAAGCCCGTCCTTGTGCTCCACGACTTGTCGTGTCTGTGTAACCGTCGCACTGCTGCCAAATCCGGAAAAATATTTTACCGGATTATTTCAATAAAAGAGTGGTATGGGAAGGTAAGGGTTATCCATGCCATCATGACCTTGTCCCCAAAAGGGCTGATGGTAAGCCATCGTGACGACACCCGATTGAATCCATAGAGAGTGTCATATGTGAGCCCAAGACAAAGGATCCCGTGTGTCATCCAAACAAAAGATGTGGTACACACTAACTGATATCCATACCACGGAGCCCCAAGTCTCCGTAGATATTAAACACATTTGACTACCATTGACAAAAAGTCCACATGCTTCACTGACGGACACGCAATCAACGTGCCCCCACACTCCCACCCCCACCCCAACCCCAACCCAGCAGCCCCCGATCACGTCCGCCGATGCCGAACTGGTCGAACCCCCACGGTACCCTTGCGGAAACACAAGTCCAGCCTGGAAAAAACAGTACTATCACCCCCCCTCCCACCATCGCCACGCCCCTAACAGGACGCCGAAACCAACGAGTGCCCAAACGGAACTTGCGTAGAGTTTACACCAAACGGTGACACAAACGGCAAGGTCAAGACCACACAGCGAGAGGACTACCGTAAGGCAGCGGCGGCGGCGGAACAGAGGGAGCGGGAGCGTAAGAGGAAGGTGGTGGAAGCTTGGCGGGCGGCGAAGGAGGCGAAGGAGAGGGAGAAGAAGGAGCGTGAGGAGCGGCGGAGGGCCGACGAGGCGGCCAAGTTTGACGAGGTGATCACCGTTTTCGTTCGTGTTTGATGACTCTGTTATCCGTATTTTTCCAGTGTGTTTTCCTTGCCGTACTTTTTCCAAGATTTTTTGTTGTTGGATGTAGTATTGCTCTCGTGCCAACGGACCGACGACATCAGTGCCGAGATCGGATGAGGCTGTTTTCTCTCTCTTTTTTTTGGCTGGAGAGTGTGTGTTTCTGGGGTTTGACGCTCGCATTCCGCGCGAAAGGCTCATTCGTGTTGTTAATGTCGGATGGTCAGAGTCGTGGTTTACAAGTCCCGGCGTTACCTTGTGGGAATCTAGTGGTAAGTCTGCGTATATGTCGACGGGAAAAGGGTTGCCGAGGGAATCATTCTCGCGATAAGCCCTGAAGGCGTGTATGGAGATGACCTAGGCAAGCTGGGCGAGGGTCACATCTACCCAGCATCTGTCGAGGATAATGGCCTTGGTTCACGCGTACACACAATGGAAGAACTTGTGGGTAGCTTTGAACTGTAGCGCCTGAGAGGATAAGGCAAGACCACGCGGCAGAGAGAGCATTATCGTACGGTAGACACGGCCAGAAAACAGTAGAAAACGCAATAGCGTACGGTAGGGAAGGCGAGATCCATACGGTAGAAAAGGTGACATCCGACCCATACATTGGGGTGCACGGTAGATAAGGCAAGAGCATTCGGTGGAGAAGGCAAGCCCATCCGGTAGAGAAGGCAACACCATACGGTAGAGCACGCAACCCATACGATAGATACGGCCAGACCATACGGTAGAGAAGCCAATATCGTACAGTAGAAAAAGTGCATACGGTAGAAAAGGCTGGCCCATCCGCTAGAGAAGGCAAGACCATACAGTAGAGCACGCAACTTATCCGATAGACAAGGCCAGACCATACGGTAGAGAAGCCAATATCGCACAGTAGAAAATGCAAGAGCGTGCGGTAGAGAAGGCTGGCCCATCCGGTAGAGAAGGCAAGACCATACAGTAGAGCACGCAACCCATACGATAGACAAGGCCAGACCATACGGTAGAGAACCCAATATCGCACAGTAGAAAAAGCAAGTGCGTGCGGTAGAGAAGGCTGGCCCATCCGGTAGAGAAGGCAAAACCACGGTAGAAATTGCCAGCCTATGAGGTATTAAATTAGGCCAGACCGTACGGTAAACATCGCCATACTATACCGTACAGATAGCCAGATCATACGGTGGAAAATACCAGGCTATCCGGTAGAGACCGCAGTCCATACGATAGACAACGCCAGATCATTCGGTAGGGAAGCCAATAACGTACGGTAGAGACGGTAAGACCGTGCGGTAGAGAAGGCAAGGGCGTACGGTGGAGAAGCCCAACCCATTCGGTAGAGAAGGCCAGGCCTTATATATGCCCAGACCATACTGAAGAGAAGGCCGGACCCTACGGTAGAGAAGCCAACAACATACACTAGAGAAAGCAAGCCCATTTGGTAGAGAAGGCCAGCCAATATGGTAGCAGGTCAGGCCAGACCGCAAACTAAACACGGCCAGACCATGCGGTAGAAAAGGCCAGATCGCACGATGGAAAAGACCAGATCATTCGGTGGGAAACGCAAGACCATACAGTAGCGAAGGTCAGACTGTAAGGTAGAGAAGACAAGAGCGTACGTTAGAGAAGGCAAGAGCGTGCGGTAGAGAAGACCAAATCGAACGGTACTGTAGAGGGTGCAAGACCATGCGGCTTTAGAGGGACAGGCCGTACGGTAAAGAAGTCACAAAATGACGTGATGGGAGAAAATGATGGGATGGCGGTAATATATTCTTAGATGAACCACATCCGATGAAGGTGCCAAAATATTCTGCATGTTTATTGCACTTGGGTATCTTAGTAACTACTTTTGGGTCACGCGCTGCATGTCCTGTATGGGGGAGAAGAACTTCGATTGAATTTTGATGAGTGTCCCTTGTCGTGGCGTCGGCCTCGCTTCAAGCCGGCGACCAATAGCATGACGAGACAACATAAACCGTACGGTGCGCTGTTCCATGCGTTTGATCGCTATCCTCACGTCTACCGTATTATTTAGGTGAGCCTGAGACAGACCTCACCAGCTTTCTCCCTCTCAAATATGACCGAAGGAGGAGGCGTTGAATAGAGGTCAGACTGGATATTTTTCTGGTTCTATTTGCATTCTGACAATCATATCTGTAACAATCATTTTTCAACAATCATTTTTCAAAGGAAACCAGCAGCACTAACCATAAAAGCTACAACAATGTGATAGGAGAGGAGGCGACAGCGAAGGCAACATGAGCAGGTAGCGGCGTACCGCCTGGATCGAGAGAGGGAGGACAATCGTCGTCGGGAAGTCGAGAGGATGCTAGCCAGAGAGCAGGTAATCGTGTTGATGTTTTTGACTTGTTGATGCTTTTGCCTTGTTGTGGATGCGTTTTTCTTGTCTTCTCTTGATTTTGTGCGACAAAGTACAGAGCATCTACCCTTATGTGGGGACGACAACATAAGGGTGTTGGCAGGATACGTCAAGCCGTATAGCGGGAAGCCGAGGCTTCGTCGCAGAAACTATGCAGACGAGCTTTCGTGCAGGCACGGCGCAAATGCGCGTCGTGTCGCTGGCTTTGTATAAAGACCGGCGCAAGTTGACGACGAAGCAGGACCGTCCATCACGTCTGGTTGCCTCTCTTCTTCGTTCTATTCCCCTGCGCAAGCAGAAGAGGATCATGTTCTCCCAGGTGGACATCGAGGACCGCGCGAGGAGAGATGTCGATCGGGCACGGGCACGACGGCAAGAGGTCGCCTTGAAGGAGTTGCACCAAAAGGAGGCTGAACAGAGAAAGAAGGCCGCGGCGTGCGGGCGGTGGGTCGGGGTTGAAGCAGACCGTTCCAGACTCTTAAGGGGGACCAAGGTGAGGGTTTGGGGGGAGGTACTTGAGGATATCGACTGTGAGGTTTGAAATTACCAGGGTTTTGTATGTGGGGAAGCGTCAAGACCAGTAGGTAGGGGTTGAGACACATCGCTCGTTCCAGATCTTCAATAGGGACAACGGCGAGGTAAGGATTGACTTGATCGTGGAAAAAAACTACCAGTATTAGGATTTGGTGTGTGTGGGGTGGTTGCGTTGACGGTCGGGATTGAGACAAAGCGCTGCATTGCCGTTAACGGGGAATCCCGGTGAGGTGTGGGTGTTGCTGGGCGGTGACGACCAGTGGAATTGTAGCGCGGGGTGCGGACTACGTGGAGTTGATGTGCGTGGAGGAGACAGAAAATTTGGCGTGCCGAGTGCCCAACGTGTGCTGGGCAGGCACTGAGGCGTTCCCGAGGTGAGAGGTTCCGTTGCATGTTTTACAGGTCAAGTCGCGTCCCTGTTGAGACAGGAGCATGGCACAAACGGTTTCCCAGCCAGTGCATGAGAAAGAGAACAAGACTTCTAGAATTGTTTCTTCGTGAGTACCACCGTTTGAAAAATAAAAAATCAGGACCCTCGGATACAAAGAAAGGTGCATAGCGATGGTCCCTACCCTTCCAAACAGAGTGGTGTTCCTGTAGGGGCGTTTTAATTTCATCATTTTGACTCCGCTTGCAAATTACAGCGATGGATTCTACGGTACCTCAAACAGTACTTGGTTTGGCTGCCCTGCACCCTGCTTGCTGTGTTTCCGGGCATTCTCTGGTTTTAACTGTATTTCCGCGAGTGACGGGACTCTCGCTTGGCGTCTCTTCTGGGCTAGCTTGTGACCCACAATAAACGCTGTCTCTTCCCTTCCAAGTAGATGATACTTCATACAGAGGTTGTACTGTGCTCTGAAGGATTGTCCATCGCTTGAAGATCATGGCTCGAAGAGCATGGTACTTGAGCGCAAACGTCTATCTACAAAGTACACCACCCACAGAAGAAGACAGGAAGTTTTCAGCAGGAGGACCAGATATATATTCACTCAACATCCGACGAACCACACCCCGAACTCACTCTCGGTTGCCTCATTCAATCTCTCACCTATGTTTCCCTGGGCATTCTGTCGGCGCGCACGTCACCAAGGCCTCGAAGGAAAGGATGCTCGAGCCAGAAGATCTGGACGACCTAGAGGACCGGAGGGCGAGCCTCCCCGCGCATTGCTCGCCCATCGCCATCAGCGGCCGAGACCTACGCTTCAACCAGGGCCGGGCCGTGCCAGCATGGAGGCGCGGTTGTTTGTAGTAAACGGAGCGAGTGTGTGTGTGCTTTTATTATTAGCGTAGACCGCGCTAACCGGCTGACCAATGAAAACACGTCAGTCTTAGTGCGGTTGAAAACACAAAACACTTCCATCTACCATGAACTGGGACCCCGTGAGGGGGCAGCATGGGGGAGGCTAAGCTATCCTTCGGATCAAAAACAGAAACAGCAGCAACAGACGAAAACTGCACCCGTCTACCAAGGCTATTACCTTGTACTCGAGTTCGTTTAGGAGTACTTTCACCAGTGTCCTCCTTGTTTTCGCTCCCATCATTCTGATCTTCATTTTGACAAGAAGAATCTCTGGGCAGTTCTTCCCGAGCCCTACGTTTCTTGTTGTGGGGAAGGTCATCTGGCTCAAACCCTTTGCTCTCTTCCACTCCTCCATGTTTTTCTGCTCCATCGTCGTCATCCTCCTTTCTCGCCTTTCCCTTTCCTTCGTCTTCGTCACTACCACAAGAATTGCCCTCACTACTATCGTTGTCGCAGAGATCCCAACCGATTGGCCCTGGTGGAAGTTGGTCGATCAGTAGCCCATGACGTTTGAACACATCGCGAGTTCGCATAGACAGAAAACGAGCTAGCTCGAAGGTAAACCGTCTCCGAATCCTGTTAGTATGAAACGCTTTCAGGCGAACTAAGGCTCTTATGTCTTCAAAATTGCCCCGGCAAAAAGCTTCGTGCGCCAAGTGGTTGGCGATAGCAACGATGAGTCGATTGGTGCCTTTGCCAAGACCACCATTCGTTGAAAAAGCAGCAGTAAGGAGGGTAGATCTAGACGGGTTGAAAGATCCCGCATAGTGATTTGCCTTGTGTGTTGTGTGTGTGTTCTTGATAGATCGCCGCGTACCCACGGCTTCTTTCCCAATGGAACTGTATTTTTTTTTTCTTCTTGTAACTCGGTACACGGGAAACGGATAGAAAGAAGAGACCCTAATTTATATTTGATTGGTTAATTATCATCGGCCGCGCTGTCCGGGTGACCAATGAAAAGACGTGAGTCTCGGTGCGTGTGTGCATGCTCTTTGTATGTGTGGACCGGCCTCGTGGTAGACTTTCTCGTCCAAGCTCTTCGAGCGTGCGGTGAGGGGGGAGAAAGAGGAAAAGACAACATTGATTGCGTCTCCATACAGACTTAGAGAGCTTCGCTCGGAATGATGTCTTCCGTACTGAGCTCACGGTTTGATCCCCGATGACTTTTTGGACAAGCTCGAGGCGTCCTTGAATCGTGATGGGCCCTCGGTGAACTGCCGAGTGTGGTTCATCATGTCTGTCCGACTGCTGTCGATCCTTACAAACTGCAGTCTATTTCGACCTGGCAAGCCAAGAACCAAACGACACTTCAAACCTAGGTGTCCGTATCCAAACGTGTATGCATACAAGAACAATACACACGTCGTGACTCGCCACGTTCCTGCAGACCAAGTGCGCAGCGCATGTGTATTGGGCTTGTGAAAGCGGAGTCGTTTTTTGCCTCAGAAGTATGAGCGGAAGTGGGAAGTTCTGAACTCTTCGACCTAAACAGGTTCATTCATTGTCAGTCACCAAAACTTCCCACGTTTTGCTTTCGAAGTCCTCAGCTGGTAAATAAATTCCACCACCCACGAGAACAGTAGAACTCTTGGATTTCAAGTCCGAGCTCCAACATCCCTTCAACTATTACGGCCAAGCAGTTAAAGAAAATCTATATCTACCTGTAGTACCCAAACGTGGCGCGCAACTGGATAAAAAAAAAGAAGACATGCGTCCCAAACAGTAAACGCAGGAAATAACCCTAAATCAATCCCTTTCAACGCGTCTTGCGATCAATTGATCAATGCGTCGCCCAAATGTAGCTCGACACAAACTTCAAATCAGTGCCCATCAACATACATCCAACGGCACTGCCCATCCACGCACCGAGCGACTCAGCTGGTCGGCGCCCCCACCCCCGCATCACCGAGCTCGAGTGAAGACAAACCCAGCTTCAGTGCAAATGCCCTCCATTCCAAATTCATGCAGAATGAATAGTTTCACGGCAAACGTGACAATTGCGTGGCTATCGATGCCGACAGACGACAGAGCTCAGTCGTTTTGATCGAATCTCGAGACATCTTGTTTTCGTTACAGGCACATTGATCGCTACTACCGCCCGCTGCTGGTCAACAAATGAGGCACCTTGAGGTTTGTCAGCTAGTATTCACACATCAAAGAGGGTTGTACACATGTGTAGCAGCAGCAACTGATGACGATCCTAAGAGAGACAAAAATACCCACAATAATAGTAAACCGTAACCCAACGAGTCTGAAAATATACACTTCCAACGGTGTGAGGCGCGGCAGTGTGGTGCCAAGCAGGCGAGGGATCCCCCTCTCTGTTCTGTCGAAGCTGGCGTCGCCCTTGCTCGCGCATTCATCTCTCTCTCTCTTGCCGCTCTTGGCTCTCGGTCGATTCGGTGGAGGTCCATGACTTGGTCGCGGTGGGGTGGGCAGAGAAACTCGATCACGACCACCCATATCGGTATGCGTCCTCTCCACCACTATATTGCGATCAGAGGAAATGCAAGAGGGGCTGGGTAAGCGATAAGGATGAACATCCTTCACTCCAGGTACATGATTTCATTTTCAGTTGAGGAGAATCTATCACACGTCCTGCTTGTTTCTGTGGTTCTATTTCTAACCATGCAGTAGCCCAACCCAATTCAGAGGTACAGCACCGTCACAAGTTGTTCTTGAAATGTTTCCATGTTTCGGAGTCGAAGAGGTTTGAACTGCCTTCGGACACATACTACGCCTAGGGCAAGCTGGTGGTATGATCTCACACAGAACTGCGAGAGGGCACACGATGTATTCAACGAGCACAACGGATAGGTTTGGTTACTGTGACGTTCGGGTGGCTACAGTAAATACGTGTATTTGTTTGTTGTTTGCCGCAACTCCAAAATACGTGGGTCTCGCTTGGTTAAGCGCAAGCAGCGTAATCAGCCCTAGCTCCCCCCAAAAACTGAACACCGCCGTGTAGACCAAAACATAATTAAACACTTCAGACGTGGTCCCTCAAGGGCATCGCGGTGGTTCGAGGTTGCGGGGAGCATGCGCTAAAGAGAAGCCGAAACACAACAGGTAAGGACAAGGAAACTGCTGCTTGAGGCGGTTTCTACTCCTGCAGAAGACGAAAACACGAAGATATGCACGCGAGGGATAAAAAATGGAGCAAACCAAACGAGCAAACGCAAACGAGGGATAAAAATGGAGCAAACAAAAGAGCACAAAAATTTGCATACAACTACATAGCCCATAAACCAAAACACCAAGGTATTTTTCCAACTCACAGCCTGAAGTTGTTGTCTGCCAGTCGTTCCATCTCTTTGAGGGTAGACGGGCGCAGCCCAGCCTTGCGGCACTCCTTCTTCTTGTCCAGCACGGCCAGGATCACTTGGCGCAGCCAGCGGCGACACATGGACTCGGTGAACCCGAAGCAATCAATCACCGCGTAGGCGCCGGACTGGGGAGCACAGATGCGAAGAGCCGCCATGAGTTTCACCTTGGGCGGGATGTGCAACCCTGTGTCCGTGCGGGTAGCTGAATGAAGTTGTGCGGAAGCGTGGGGCGCGTGTGGACACTATTTATTAAGGAGCGAGAGGACCGGAGGTATAGAGGTGGGGTGAAGTAGCAGAGAATGACATTCGAGACCTTTTCCATGCAAAGCCAAATGCGCCTCGAAATAAACAAGGTTGGGTGGTGATGTCGATAAAATTGGTTCTGAATACTTGAGCAGCCGGCACTTACTTTGCGTGAGTAAAAAAAATATGAGTTTGTACGCCTGGGGGATGCGGGGGGGGGGGGTGTACTCATAGTCGTGCATGCCGTAGTCGTTAGACCATTGACCTCGCATCCCTACAAAGCCGGGACGGAGCACGCCGGGTTCTCACCGGACCAGGCTCTCACATCACCAAGCGC